TTAAAAACGACATTACATCATTATTTTTGCACCAACCTAATACTACTTTCTAAATATTATGTATTCTATATTATGTGAAGTATCATTGTAGGATTTAACAACCCTGCCTACAACACTTTTGGAACGTTTCACTTTCTCTGAAATCTCTAATGGTGTGCTTTTCCTTGTGTAGCTTCACAATAGCTTTTCTCACAGAGTAATCAAGTTTTTTGGCGTTTCGCCATGGTGTCGGCTGATGCAACGTTTACAAATGACTAAGTAAGACTTATTCTTTAGAGGAAATCAAAAAATTTGAGTATAGCATACTGTTTACATTGTTTTTCTCAATTTTGTCCCTTACTTTTGGACGATCCTATTTTGAAAGTAAATAAATAATTGTTATCATTCTTTTTCTATCCTTTGCAAATGATTCAAATTTTAGTATGTTATTATGGATGATAACGACTACCAGTTGTCAAAATTTCAGCTTTTCACAGTTGTTATTTCTAACAAATATTAGGTTTTAAAATTTTGTCCCTTAGTTTTGGACGCTACTGTATATATATATATATATATATATATATGTATGTGTGTGTGTGTGTGTGTGTGTGTGTGTGTACAGAATCCAATAATATTCAAGCGACCAAAAGTCTATTGCCAAAAGCTTTGCGCAAAATAAGGGAGCTCCTGAGATAATATTAAAAATAGTCTCTTTTTTCAATATAATTAACAAAGTAAACTACATATTGTATTAGACTAGTCTTTTATTTTTATTTTTTTTTTTACAGTTTTAAAGAAGTTTCTGGTAGTAACATCTTTGCAAAACTCCCAAAATTGCTCGATATAGCCTGTGTCTCTTGCATGTACTGCCTTCTTTAACTTGTACTGTAAATTTCTATTTGGATTTTAAACAGGAATTTCACTAAGCTATTTGAAGACGGAACAATTCTATCATGGATTTGCTCATTGCGATCCCAGTATCTATGTCTTAAAGATGGAATGTTGCTTAACATCCTCCTTTTCATAAATTGAGAAGAAAAACTTTATGACTCTCATTCGTAATCTGTTTTACGCTGATAACTATGATCTCGTAACACAAACTGCAGCTGCTGAAGAACTCCTGTTCCGCGTGTAGCGAGTTCGGTCTACAGTCTTAAAATGACCGTTGTTAGGCTAAATCCAGCACCAAGCAGGCCGTATATTGAACCATCGATTTATGTTGAGTAAAAACTTGGAAGTCGTAGACACTATTTACACATAATAACCTTTATGATTAAGGCAGTATTTTGTTTTACTTAGGACGGTGAAGCATTCGGTAAGACCGTGTTGAAACATTGGTCCCAATAAAACATCAAAATTGCAACGAAATTAGGGGAATAACAGGCATGTGTACTATTAACGCTCTATATGGATGGGAAACTTGGGCAACATCCCGCAAGCGTATCTAATATTTCTGGTTATTCTACCAGCGATGCTTGAATGTAATGCCAAAGATCTCATGGCGATCAAATGTTCCGAAAAACAAAGTGCTGTAGATGACTAAATTGACGAGTGTTTTCCAGGATCATCAAGTACCAACTTTGATGTGGTGGTCACACTTCCTCTTATAAGATACTGATAACGGAAATGCGTGCCGTATATTGAGATTGCGCAAACCAAGCGTCCCCAATGCAAACCGCGCATTTAATGTTAACAGATGAAAAGCCTGGAAACCCGGTCGACAAAATTATAGAGAAATAGAATCTGTTATTCAGTAAATCTTGATTAGAACTGCAGAAAACACAGAAAATATAAGGAAATGTTCTGTTATGGTAGTTTGGGAGACTTGTTTTTGTAGAAACGCAGATTTTTGTGCCTTCCTACGTTTGAAGAATGAGATATTTAGAACAGCCTTCCATTATTTACATTATTATGACTTATCCTCATCTTCACTGCCATATTCACAACGTTTTGGTCGTTGTACGCTTCGACCTTCTACAGGTGATGAAATTTCGAACCAAACCCTTTATTTCGTTCACCGGGGTAGATTGTTCTAGTTCCACGTTTCATGCCTCTTCCGGATATCTCAGTTATTTTCTTTAACTCAACTCTCTAAGTTTTGATTCACCACTGCTGTGGCCTGGTACTGAATACACAACTCTTTGGTTCTCGTTACTGGATTTAACGAAAGTCTTCATCCACTGGTCCGTGGGATATAGAGAGATTTGGAATGGCTTTAATTTTATTTGAAACTCGTCCTAAAGCAAAGTTTTCTTTTACTACATTGATAATTTTATTTCATAAAGTGTTATTATATAAAAGCTAAATTGATATTATCCTTTTGTATGCCAATCCTAACTAAGGACTACTCATATCATTTTTTTGGTAACAGGACGATTTATTTTGAAGTTGCCACCTTTGAACCAATTGAGGGCTAGGCTAATATGTTACCACAAATTTTTAGTATTAAATATACGTAATGGCCAAATCATTTTTAAATATCGATTTATTTTTATCTATCTGGTGGTCCACAAAAGACATCTTATCAATGATTTCTGTCAGCCACAGTTCTGCGGAGTTGTGGCTTTCTGTTTCCGGTATTGTCTATGTGTTAATCAATGACGTTTCGTGCGGGTCTCCTTCCTGATCTTTTCCGATAATCTGGATCCCTTAATACAGTCTGATGTAAAGCTTCTTGTTTACTTCTCCAACGGTGGCCAGTGGACCTTGCTTGTGTCTCACAGATGGTGTCAGTAACCTTTGGTAGGTCTCGATATAATTCTTCATTGAGAATATATTATTTCCACGTGACCTCTCTGATCTCAATAATCGAGTGTACCATCTATTTTTTTTTTTTTTTTTTTTTTTTTGCCAGTGATCTTGTTAATGTTTAACTACTTCATCCTTTTAAGAAAACTGTTTCTGTTCTGGGCCTAAACAGTTGCGTTTTCAGATATGTTTTGATTTTTCGTTCCAAGATGGTAGACAGTTTATGACTATAATACGTGGAAACACCGGTTCTCGTATGATCACCGAAGTTAAGCAACGTCGAATCTGGTCAGTATCTATGTGACTAGTTGGAAATACCAGGTTCTGTAAGCATGGATGTGCCATGTGTTGGTAATGTAGTGAATGTAAAATCAGAATGAGAGCCGAGTTCAAGTTCCAGTCGTGTTTGTTACGTTCACTTAGGCGCAAATCTCCTCGAAAAGGTATGAATCAACATCTCTCTCCAGCTACGTTTATGTTAGTAGGACTTATAGTACTTAAGTCTTTGAGCCTTGCGTTCCTGAACAAGTTTAACCCTTCTGCCTGATCTCCTGAGTCAAAATTCGAAAATAATTGGTATATAATATTATACGTTAGATATAAAAATAATTATAAGTGTTTACTCACCGTTCAACAGGTGGCTGGGTATTAAGTCATTTTTCTCTACCACTGTTCAGCTCGATGACTGGGCCTTACGTCATTTTTCTCTACCACCATTAAAGCGATGGCCAGGGATCAAAGGGTTTATCATTATTGTTATGGGGTCCTCCCCTTTTCATATAAGTAGACTCTACCAGTGTTACTTGGAGTGCTGCCATTAAATACCCAGAGTTAGACAGTCAGTGAGAGAGGATATACGGAGAGAGAGAGAATATACGAACGGAGATAGTGTGAGGTAACCTCTTGTAGAAGTCAGTTACAAGCACGTAGACTCTAAGGAAATCCTACTTCGAGACTGTATATATCTATCTGCATTTGCTACAAACCACGTTCCTGGATTTACTAACAGTATTACTCTTTGTATGATTGTGTAAATACATTTTATTTCTTATATTTAGTTATTTCGTTTGTCATTCCTTGGAGACGGAATTCATCTCGGAATCCACAACAATTATTATCTACAAAAGATTTCTACAGGCTATAATAATTTCTGGCCTTAAATGACGTGCAAGAGGTTGATAAGGTCTAAAAAACAAAAAATCAAACATTCAAACCAAGGTGGTAGACATTTTTTTTATAAAGTTGTTCATGTCATTGTAAACATTTATGTATTTTTGAAAAGAGTTCAACTATGATCCTTGATATAAAAAAAATATCTACTTTGAATGTTACAAATTTTCCTTCTGCAGAATTGAAATATATGAATTCGATGTTACTTAACTTTATATGTAGTCCAACTTATGCTACTTCAGATGATAATCCCAAAAGAAATACTTTCAATTGTTCATGCGTGTTGGTTGCAAGAGCGAGATAATCCTTAACGCACGTTTTCTTCATTGAAACTTTGCAATCTAGTTCAAAATTAATCACTGAATAAAATCTACAATCTGATTCGTATCCCACATTAATATCTACACCGACATTAACTCCCTGCCTTGTATTCATTCTCTGAGAATGTCTTGAGCTATAGAAAGCAAAGGAATCGATACCTTGAGGCACTAACCATGTTTGGCAGAGATGTGTGGTTAGATCTTTTGCTAGTTTCTTTAATCACTTAAATGCAACAGTCGTACCTGAACGATTTGAATTCATTCATTGTAGTTCTTCCAAAAAATGGCCAACTTGTTGGAATGATGCAATCTCCAAGACATTTCATTTACACTGGCATAGAAAATAAGTAAAGATTGTCTCTGATTGATTTGATATGTCTAAAGCGTCTGCTGGGGAAATATGCCTCTGTCTCTTGGGAAATCATTAACCATTACCGCGAGGAAATCGAACGCTACTAATCTGACGTCAGCGTCAAAATAGATAACTACACGAGCCAACAAAAATCATCAAATTTCTTTTTTTTTTTTTTTTGGTTCTTATATCTGATTTTCTTGCCCAACAGAGCAAATGTGTAAGCGTTACTCATTAAAATACATAATAAAAAATGGTTGGACATCTATTCGCATTGCATATTTATTGTCGTTATGAAATATTCTATGTACTGTAAGAGTTTTCTACTTAGGAAGACAAGGATTTTGAAAGCACCATAATCGAAATTTATTAAGAAAATTATTACTTATTTCTATTATGTCTATTGAAATGTCTGTAATGTAATGCTTTTGTCAAGAGTATTCCTGCAGACACACAAACACAAAAATAAATAAATGCATAACATAGATAGATAGATAGATAGATAGATAGATAGATAGATAGATAATGAACAGACTGATAGATAGATAGATAATGAACAGACTGATAGATAGATAGATAGATAGATAGATAGATAGATAGATAGATAGATAATGAACAAACTGATAGATAGATAGATAGATAGATAGATGAACAGATGATAGATACAAACTGAGATAGATAGACAGATAATGAACAAACTGAGATAGATAGACAGATAATGAACAAACTGAGATAGATAGATAGATAGATAGATAGATAATGAACAAACTTAGATAGATAGATAGATAGATAGATAGATAGATATATAGATAGATAGATAGATAGATAGATAGAGTATGCGCATAATAAAAACCACAGCGTTTACAATTCCCCACACCCCCAAAAAATACTAGCAAAGATAAATGTTTAAATCTTCGAAGAGTGTATCATTATTATTCAACACTCTTCCCACTGAATATATTGTAAATAAGTTGGAAAATGATCCTGGAATTATATATTTATATATATTTATATTTCTTCGGAGTGTGTTTGTTGACGTCGTTGTTGATTACACGTGTGCATGATTAGAGACGCAAGTAGTTTCCAAATTTTTTAAAGATTTTTTTTTTCAAATTTATCTATATTCTTTTTTCTTCTTGCAAATTGTCTATATTCTTTTTCTTTTTCTTACCACTATCTTTCTTATCACAATTTGGGATATTTAATGACAAATATGATGTTAAAAAAAGAAAAAAACTACTATAACAAATCCATTTCGATAAAGTCACAATGGATGAAGCGAGTCGAAAACTATTATTTCCAATTTGTCATACATCTTTTCTTTTAAAACTATTCTTGGCATAAAAAAATTATATATCGTTATCCCATAGATAGACAGATGGATATATCGAGAAATATATATATATATATATATATATATATATATATATATATATATAGAGAGAGAGAGAGAGAGAGAGAGAGAGAGGGGGAGAGAGAAAAAGAGAGCGAGATATAGATTCTTATTTAATGAATGACAAGATATTGGCACTAATATAATTATTCTCAAAAGTGTTCCATATATGTTGAATTACGTGCAAATTATCATTTTCTTCAAATAAAGTTTATTTTTTACTTGTTCTTCCTAACAACCATAAAAGTTTGCAAAAGCCTACAGTCAGATTTAGCAAACATATACAAATGCAATTAAGGAATTGTTAATTAATCCCAAATCAAATCGACATGACATAAGACACAGCGTCGATACTGCAAGTGGTAATTTTTTGTCAACTTTTAAAATCAGACTCTTATTTCCTCAATTTATTCGACCATAAACAAAACTTTCTGACAATATTCATCATAATTTTGAATGCGGCTTTAGTTATTTTGATATTATGAAGATTGTATCAATTGTTTTGAATAGCAGATGTTAAGGAGTCAGTTAATCAGTTATGTGGCATGCGTTATACACGCTTAGACGATCATGTATCATTTGATACATGACTGACGAGGCAGATTTGTTTTTCCCGCGGCAGTTTGCCCTTTTTTTCTGTGGTAGACTAATTGCCATCCAAGACTGTCTGTCCTGCTATTTATCCATAGCTTCGGGGAGAAGAAGAGTATTCATACCTTACCCAAGGGCATTAGCACGTATGTGAATTCGACTGGAAGTGGAACTCGGCTCTCTGATTCCTCAATCCGAGCCGTATGGAGTAAGTGGGTAATATTATAAGGCATGGGCACCATGACGTGGTGTAATGATGAGAGGCATGCCTTCCTAGATCTATAACAACTGAGTCGTGAGATAGATCCTCATTGGGTGCCCCATACTTTCAGTCTTTTGCCACAGCTGAGCTGTGCTTAGAATATCACTATATTATAAGTCTGTTTTTATTTCGTTTATTGCTATTGTTATTATGCTATTAATGTCATTATATTTCTTGCATTTTGTACATGTTTTATACGTTTCTCTTAACGGTGTCGATAAAATAACGTGTATATTAGGATCAGAAACCCAAATAACCATAATATATATATATATATACATACATATATATATATATATATATATATATATATATATATATATATATATATATATATATATATATATAATAAAATGTCACAACTCTTCCTTCAAATATAATTTAGAAAATTGCAGAAATTAAAAGAAAACGTCTCTATCAACACAATTATCTATAACAATTCATCAAATTTATTAGACATACATGGAAATAAATTTACCGACAACTTCGATCTAAATAATATCACACTTATTAAAAGAAAAAAAAAACAACTTTTTTAGACGGAAATTTCTTGAGCGTGCCGCTATCGAAACTTACCAAAATTTCCCACCCACTGGATTTTTTAGAATATTTCCTTTCCTATAGGATATACCGGCTGTAACAGCAAAATTGTCCAAATCGTTTAACAGTATAATTGTCCATCCCACAAAATGTTTAATATCTAAAAATCCCTAAACTCCATAATGAGTTTCTTTTTTCCAGGTTTTCAGATAAGACGCTTACCCATTTTGACACCATTTATCGTAAGAATCACTGAAAAAACTTTGATTTATTCAGCTACAAATAGTCCAGGTTAACATCGTTTCGTGTCAGCCCCAGTGTGTCTTCCCAACTTAGCAATGGCCAGGGAAAAATATGATTCAAGCCTTCAGTAATGTTACCAACATTCATATTTTGGCTTCCCTCTTCAAAGTCCCTTCAAGATGATGTTTCTTGAATGAACTTTGAACAATGAAATCAGATTATGAATAATCGGTGAATAAGATTAAAAAAGACGTGTGAATAGAGAGGATCAGGAGGTCATAACAGCAAAAGGGATTATCATTTCAAGTTAGAGCTAAAGAGATCAATTAGAAAAGATCCAACACAATTCATAAGAAGTTTGACACGTAACAGTCCAACATGTGGTAAAAATTGAAATTGAAATTGTATGTGAAACCTGAAAGGCAGCTTGTTATTCCATGACAGAAAGTTAGAAGCTTAGAGAGGGTGAAGATCATCTTGAATAGGTTGGAAAATGGTGGGATATATTTATGGGATAAAGTGCTCAATGTCAGAGATAGAGAGTCTGTAAATATTAAAGTGAACATAGAAGTCAACACTTAGAGGCGACAGGATGTTTCATGCTCGATGCAATCGTCAGGCCACAAGAATATATTCATATATATATATATATATATATATATATATATATATATATTGTCAAATGACCGGATATTGTTAGCGTCTGTTCTAACGTAATTTCAACGAAGAAATAAATTGAATAACATATAACATACGTATTTTTTTTCTTTTCTCCTCAGTAATTTTATAGTTTTTAAACGTAATAGTGATTAAATTTGGATTTTAAAATTGGCAGTTTTTAATTTTAATATCTAATTTTATCATATAATTTAATAATTATTGGTTAGAATAAATTCTTTTTAATATTACCCGTATTTTAAAGCTCTGAATAGCTATTATAACATGATTTCGTTGTCAAGGTTTTGAATCTTCTTATACTTGGGTTTTGATTGGTCATTCTAGCTTTTGTAACAATGTTTTCCCCTAGCGAGGGATCGTTAATTAATTTGAAACATTTAAAACCATTTATTTTATCTTCAACATCATCACTTGATAAGACACCGAGGGTGTTGAAAGAAAATGGCTACTTTTGTAGTGATTTTATAACATATTTATGTCATAATTTTTTTTTAAAAAAAATATATATATATATATATATATATATATATATATATATATATATATATATATATATGAACTTAATTTCAAAAGTTCATCAGCTTCCGATGCTTAGGTATGTTTAATTAATACTGAACATGTCATTTTCGTTTATGAGATATTTCATCACGATTCTTCTGTTAAGCTTGGAGAGGAATAATAAATTCTTATTGCTCAAATAATGTTATAGAAAGCTCGAAGCATTCCAGTAATATATCTTTAATCATTTCTAAGATAACACGGTTCATAGCTTAATCTAACTGTTGCACAATTTTACTGTCACAGGATTTGGATAATTTTGCTGTTACACCAAGTATTCATTTCCCCCGGCAATACTTATGACCATGAAAACATTTTTAAAAAATTAACAGTAAAATGTTAAGGGAAAGATTCTATAATTTAAAAAAAATAAATACTTAAATGTTTTGTTAAATTTAAATAATAAATAAGTTAATGATTAAAAAAAAGGCGAATAAATACATATATAAATAAATAAGAAAATGAAAAAGTCAACAATAACATTTGCTTATAATCGTTTATCAGACATAAAATGTCATCACTTAGCATTCTTCAGAGTTTCCTTCCAATTTCATCGTATGGCTAAATAATAGTTAAGAGCGCTCTTGAATTTATACATTCTTAAAAACTTAACTAACTGTTTATAAATATAAATATATATTGCGAAATAAAATCCTTACATTTAAGGATGAAACGCAACTTCCTTTTGTCTTTATTCATCTTATCTTTTTACATCTATATTTTTCATATACAAGATTTTACACATAACATATATATGTATATATGTGTGTGTAAAATCTTATATATATATATATATATATATATATATATATATATATATATATATATATATATATATATATATATAGTAGCGAGCATTGAAAATAAGGTGATGTTTACCAAATATTAAATATTGTTGATATTTTGTTCACAATCAAGTATTAACAAGATCGTTCCTTAACTTTTGTCCAGTAGCTTATTTCCTTTGTTCCATTTAACCTTTATTTTTTAAAAAACTATTATGTAATTTTTTGTAACTTTATATAATATTTATGCATTACACCCTAATCTTTATTCGGTAAAAATTTCATTGCCAATCAAGCATTACTTTTTAAGTAATACACATATTTATGTTTTTGTTGTTTCCGTTCCTTATATTATGGCCGCTACTGTATATACATATATAATATATATACACACATGGATATCTATGCACACATATATACATATATATACACATATATATGCATATATATACAAATGTATATGGATATATATTTATATGATATAAATGTAATATATATACACATATATATGCATATATATACACACACATATATATATAATTATTATTTTATTAATTAATTTTTGTTAATTAATTCTGGCCACTGGTAACCCATTTTTCAAAGCAGGACATAAAATGTTTCTTTCAAACAAATCTTAAGTCAATAAAAATTGTCCCCGATTTGTTCATTCAGTTTTCATCGGATAGAATTATTGTTTATTTACTGCAGTTTGTGCTTATTACAAAATGTCTTCTGCGTGAAAATTTTTAATTAACTTTCAGATAATAACGTTAGTTTTAATTAATGAAGCGTTAAAACACTATTTATGAAGCTCCGTATGTAAAATAAGATGTAAGTCT